CCCTGCAATAGACCGGCATTCCATTCAGTGGGGAGTAGAAATAATACTAGTTGCTTCATGCTACAGAAACTGGATTTTAAGTGCTGGCCCAATGGGCCACTTGGCTCATAAATATAGGGTTTACCTTTACCTTTAGAGAACCTGCTTTTAATTCAAGGGAAATAATTTTTGATAATTGTAAATACCAGGAGGTCACATAGTTAATGACTGGAGGCAAGGAATTGTGAGTCATCTAGTGATGGATGGATTGACATTCACTATAAAGGTACTGATATTATTATTAAAAGTACTTATTAAAGCATTAACAACCTTTTTTAATGGATTTGGAATCTTTTTTCACTAATTGATGCAGGTTTCTTTATTTTTCACAACTTATTGGTGGACCATGCAAATAAAGTGTGCACAGGATTGAGACTGGAATAACTTTTATCAAAAGAACAGTGCAGTATGAAACTCCAAGAGATTTGGGCAAGCAAATGTTATCATTTTATATGGCCCTACTTCTGTGTAGGTTATTCATGCTTTAGCTGAATGCAGGCCAATTGTAAAGCCGTCTTACTTTGAGGATGTTATAGGAGCAGGGGATTCAAGATCCACTCTTCCTGCAGCTGAAAGGTACAGCTTATGAGTCATTTTTTCCAAAGCTCAAACATAGGTGTAAATATATCTTAGTTTTCTGTTGGCATTAATCTCACAGACAAAGTCACCAAGTCAGATAATTTGGTTTTTATCAAAGATGATAATGTAAATTGGTCACCATAAAGAGTTTCTAAAGCTGACGTTTTTGAGGCTTAGCCTTTTATCAGAGCAAAGACTGCTGTCTGACCATAAAATACAATTGGAGAGGAGGTTCACAATGATCTTTGGATATAAACTATGTAACAAAAATATTATTTTTCCTTTCCAGCAAGTGTCAGAAGGGCTCACAGTAGATTTCTTTGCTTTCATGTCAAGCATAATTATAGTGTAAGGTTTTTATACACTGATGCCTACTATGGAGCAAAACTTCATACTAAAGACTTGATAGGTATCAGGCAATTATAGATTTATGTTTAGTTTGAGGTATTTTCCTGTTGAGTTTTGTGTTAGGTTCTCTTTTCCTTTGCTTTCAGCTTTATTTTGTATGCCCTCTACTGAGTTATCTTCAGGTTTCTTGAATTTTTTTTAATTCTTGTTATCCCTACATGCAGCTACCTTCCAGTCCTGAAGGAGGACACTATCAGTTCTCAAGATGCTAGTTTTCTTCCAAATGTGGCCAGAAAGAATTTGCTTAAAGGAAAAACGTTTATTTTCATCAGTAAAAAGCAGGTAATTCAAATCTGGATATGGTAACTGCGACTGTGGTGGTGACACTTTGTGCTCAGGGTTTTTTGTGTATTTGTTAGTACAAGAGAGTACACCATGCTGTGGAATCCAGTGGTGGAATCACTTTATTGAGAGACAATCCTGGGAGTGAGAATAATGAGTTCTTGGTTTCAAGGAATGTTTGTGTGATGATGGTAGACACAAAAGATCAAAATACACTTCCTGTTGCTTCTCAGCAGTGGATTTCACATGTTACGGAAACTCTGAGAAGGTTGGTTTAGGCCCATGTTAGCTCTTAATAAATGTGTTGGTGCTGCTGTTGAGACTACAACAAAAGAATAGAATAAGGTCAATTAAAACACTCTGTAGGAAAGATATATTCTTCCGTTTTTTTCTTCTTGCTTTTCATCAAAATGATGAAAAGGAATGTGCAGTAATGCATTGATTGTGTTTAATCAATTTTTTAACTGCCTGGGGTTTACAAGAAACACTGGGTAACATACACAACAGGGATATGATCAATGTAGTTTTTATTATCTTGCTGAGTTTCTTCATTTAAATCATGTTAGATCTCTATTTAAGTCATTTTTTATCTCGACATATCTTCTTGTTGTCATTAGTTACTGTATCGCTTAGTCTCAGATTTGAATTCTTTAGTGGGGTAACCGGTCGTTTCACCAACATGTCAGTTCGACAACGTCAGTTTGCCAATGTATGAGGTTGATTCACCAACATCTAATGTGAGTTCACCAGCACTTACTGTTAGTTTGCCAGCATCCAAAATAATTGTAATTACAAATGACCATAGGAATAAAATTTTACTTTTCAAATTGATGTATTTGCAAGTGTTCATACTTTTAGGTTAATATCATTTGAAATTGTTCTTTTTACTCTCAATAGCTATTTAACCACCCAAATGTTTTAAATTTAGTAAAAAGGTTTTGCAGTAGGTTCATACTCTCCTGGGGAAAAGCTGTGGATGGTTTTCAAAGTCTTTTTCAAACACAATCAGCTGTTGAGGAAATGAGAGGTTGGGGAAAGTGAAATGAACAATTTCAAACAATACATAACTAATACCTACAAACACTTGGGAATACATCAAAAAGTAAAATTTTATTCCTATGGTCATTTGTAATGACAATTATTTTGGACTTCGGTGAACTGACATTAGATGTTAGTGAATCGACCTCGTACATTGGCAAACTGACATTTGTGAACTGACACATTGGCAAAATGACTGGCATTCCTTTAGTGGAGAAGACCTCTTTGTAAAGAACAAGTTGCTGTTTTTGTGCGAAATCACATTTAAAAATTGTTATTAATTCATTATGTGTAGGTAGAAATAAGAAAACAAATTTAGTAACATGCTGTTCAAAAGAATACAGAAGGTATTTAAAAATTCCATGGAATCCTATTCATATGTCATTTTTCTAACAGAAACAGATGTCGCCCTATTCCTGAATCTGAGCTAGGGTTGGCACTACTGTTTATATCTCTGGACAAGTACTGTAATCCAAGCATTACTGCAGGTTGGAAAGTTGTCATGTTCCTAGAACTTTTGTGCCAACAAGGTTGCTTGCATTTGACTGTACTTCCTTTTTTTAATTATCAGTTCCACCTTTAACAGAGAATCTTGTGAGCCAGTCTTTTCAAGCTGCTGAAATAATGTCACAGAGAGTTTACTCTGAACAATTTACTGCCCAGGAGATTAAGGTAATGCTGGGCCAAATTGTATAGTAAGTGCTCTACCTGTAGGATGCTTGTATGTTGTGGCTTAATTGATATCAGCCAAGGAAAATAGAAGATTTAAGTAGTGCTTTTATGTTGTGATTCATCCAAGTGAGAGAGGCCCTGAAAAGGACTTTTATGCAATAGTGGCTGATATTTTGATATTTGAACCTGAAGTCATTATCAAAGGCAAGTAAATTAATCCTATGTCTCTAAGGGTGACTCTCACTCAGGAAAGCTGTTCTTTGTGGGACTGCCCTTGTTTAGATGATCAAAATACTCAATCAACTAAACCAGTCACTTTTACAGCAAGATTTCTGATCATTTGTCTTAGCTATCAAAGAGTCAGACTACCATGCAAAAGGGCTGCCATCCCCATACTGTACTAACACTCTGGCTCTTAAAATATTTTATTGAGGAGAATATCCTGCCTTTACAATCACCTGAAAAAAAAGCTCTGACCCTTATTACATGGCCGGGACTAGCCTTAGTCTTGTTGACTGACTCCCAAAGTTGTGGGCATTTGCAAGAATTCTTATTAATTACAATTTAAGGGCTATAACACTGGTAGTCCTCAGTAAGTTGTTTTAAAAGTGCATGAAAATTTATTCAATGAGTGGGCTCCATGTCAATAGACCACTACTGTGAAAGTCACTTGGTACAATGAAATGTAGGTTCACTTTTGTTCTAATTTGAGAGGAATAGAAGGTTAGTGATGATGAGGTAAAAGGTCTGATGTCACAGGGACACCATCTGTCTGACTCATCACAGCCAGCCCAAGTGATTGGCTCACTGTTGTCACATGAGCAGACAATTCCCTGATTGATTAGTTGTCATTTGAATTCCAGGCACATGAGAGTACTATGTTTGTCTGGTTGGCAATTTCAACAGTGTAAGCTTGTGGTTGGTCACATGGCCACATGTCAAATGCTTATGTTGAGTCATGGAGTGGGATAGCTGTGACATGTAATGATTGCAGTACAGATATCTGAAACCTTCATCAATTGGCTGATGGGAGTGATAGATGGGTGAATATTATGTTGTCTTGTAAAAGTCAGGCTAGGAATGTCAAGTTAACAATTTCACGCAATGTCATTCAATCTTTTTTGTTCATAAATTAGTTCAAGAAACCCCCAATCCCTGTGAGGCATAATAATGAGGACAGAGCCCAAGGTTTAAATGAGCAGCAGAGCAGTGACATACTTAAGACAGTTGATACTGGAGAAAAGAGGTATGATCTTAGCTGTTTGTATGGAAGAAAAAAAAAAGCAGAAATTTCGCTTTGAACAGTTTTCCCCAAATAAAAGAGAACAGGATAAGTGTGCTCCTTTTGCCTGGAGAGAACCTTTGTGGGCCTGACTCTCAAATGTTCATCAACAAACTTGGTTGACAGAAATTGAGGCTTCAGGCCCATTGAATTAATCAAGTGGTAAAGTGACTTATTTTTGCGGACTTTCCAGGAATTCTGGTTTTTAAAATAAGAAAATATGGGGAAAAGAGGAACACTTTTCAACTTATTCATTTCATTGAAAGATTCTCAGTCAAAATCATCCTACCATCTTGGCTCCTGCCCAAGAAAACTGGGCCAGTTGTCCAGAGAAAGTGTCCTATATTTTACCATATGAGGTTGAACATTGCTTTTTGTAGTTTGAGTTAACATCCTTAAGACAAAGTTGTTCCATTAATTTACCATTTGTACCATGCAATGCTGTTAATGATTTATCCAGTGAATATGCTTTAACTCTCCCGAAGCAATATACTCTTGAGTTCCTTAAGTTTTTTATTTTATTTTTGGAAATAAGACTTGTGTTTGTTTCAGGCCCATGAATAATGAAAGACTTGGAGACAGTTACAGTGTGTCGCCTGCAAAGAAAAGAAAAGTTATGGAAATGGAGAATTCCTTGAGTATGGTGGCTGAATCATTGGATGCAAGCAAACACGAAGAAAACGTTGGTGATGATGTTAAATTAGCAGTACCTGTACCTGACAGCATTGTTGCGGACAGCTTGGAGGTGAAACGTGACTCCTCCAGTGAGGGTGACTTAGAACCCCAGGACAGAAAAAAGGATCTTGTGAACAGCATAGTCAGTATTGCTGATAGTGTGGATGTTAGCGACAACTCTCACGTGACAGTAGATGAATTACTTGGTTGTGAGGAATTGTATCAAAAAGAGATTGAACAAAGTGGCACTACGTGGCTTCGTACAAAAGAGGATTTAAAATCAAAAGAAGTTCGTAAAAAAGATAAGGACTTTACTTGTGAATTGGTGAAGCAACCTCTGGAGATGGAAAATCCATCTAGCTTAGAAGTACATAATAAAGAGGGTGCAGCTGATCTGTGGAAAAATCTGCATGTTCCAGCGGGGTACCTTTGCTCCAGGATTCCTCGAAGGGTTTGTATACAGTATGACTTGCATTCTTTGAACTGGATTAATGTCAGGTACAAGTTTTATGTTGAGATATTGAATAACAAGAATCACAGCAAAAGGATATTCGCGGAATTGTCTGGGAAGAAATCTAACCCTTCAAGCGTTTGCATAGAAGCTGTGAGCCCGACCTTGAGAAAGTGAAATGCACGAAATAATGAGCTGGTGTTTGGCAGAATTTAGGGCAAAATCTACTGAAAATGACGAACAGAAAGTTAGTGCGTCTTAAGTGATAGAGAATTTTCTGAATTCGCATTCATTTCCTAAGATAAGGTAATGCTTAGATCAAAATACTTCAGCAAAATGAGTTCATGTACAAGATACCATCCAAAATGTTTTCAACCTGTTTATCAGTGGAATATGAGCAAATTTCGGAGGGATTCTCTTCCAAATTTTGCCTTTGACATGTCCTAGTCCTTTTCTGTTGAAAAAAGTCCTGTGGCATTTATTGCTGATGCTTCACGTCAAAGTTGGTCGTCTAACCAAAACCAACCTACCACAGGCTCGTTTAATACTAACTTCAGGCCAACAAGCAACTTTACTTTGAAGTTGTAAAAATGATAAGTACTGTTGTGTTAATTTTGTTCAAATAAAGTGGCAATAGTTTTGCCTTGCAATGTGGTGCGAAGAAAGCTACGTTATCAAACGTTTTTCATAGGTGAGCAGAAACGACGTGTTTGAAGATGACGCGTCTCATTTACCGAGGAACTTGATGGTAGTTGATCAGATGTCACTTGTGGTGCGAAGACTTACTTCTGTTGCTGCTGTTAAGGAGACACAACAGAGTACCACTAACAAGAATTTCAAGAAATTTAAAAAGGTTAGTACGCACAGCTTCTAATCCCAAAGCAAATGAATTTAGGAAAGTTGGTTTCACCTGTTCTCGCTTTGTTTGTACACCAGATTGGGTCATTCACTGCAGTAACGTTCTATAAATCAATACAGCGCTAACGAATGGGAAATACATTAATAAAACTTCAATCCTTATCTTCACTTTAGGGTTTGGGATTTTTTTTTATTTTTCTTGTGCAACAGCTTTGAAGGGGGTTAAGTTTGTGTCTAAAGGAAGTAAGTAAGATACTGTGATGCTGCATTATTGAATGTTGTAACAAGATCGTTTGGTTCTATGAACTGAGTAGATAATGTAAATTGGCCGCTGTGAAGAGTTTCTCAAGCTAAAATTTTAAGCGTTAGCCCTTCGTCAGAGCCAGCTCGCAGTATTGGCTTTTAAAAAAACTTTACGGTGGCCAATTTTCAAAATCAACTCAGTTGATAAAACCAAATTAACGTTTGTGTGGTTCTACCTTAGTGCCAGTGAAAACAAAGGTGTGTAGATATATACAGTAAAACTATGTGTAGAAGTGAATAGAGAAATTACATGAAGCCTGAATAAAATGGCGATGTATTAAACGACGACGAGGTAGAACGTTTAACCCAAATTACTTATCTTGCCTTTCATCCCGATTTAAACCCACGTCCCCTCTCGTCTTTTAACTAAGATAAGGAGAAGCCGCTTTGCCGGTGCATGTGCTTTTCTAATGAAAAACTGATTTAATAAGGACAAATATAATTCCTCACTTGGCCTATACTATTTCCCTATTATGAGACTTAATTGTAAATGAGGCAAGAGTGGAAAAGAAATCTCACAAATGAAAAATTTGTTTTCTGTGAAGCAATCATACCCAGGCTCTCACAGCAGTCTCCCGCGCATCATTGGTGGAAGTGATTTGACTGTGCACCAGACCGCTGAGCGCTTGGATACCGACGAGTGGTTCGTGGAGGCGAGAGAGGTGCGACTTATTACTTGTCAACACTGTAACTGGAAACAATAAAAGGATAATTGATAAGTACGATCTCTTGTTTTATTTCATATCAGGCGGACGTTGAACGCCAAAGAGAAGAAAGAAGGGCAGACGAACTGTTCAGGTACTATAAAGAGAGATATCCTTCCCTGGAATCATGCCAAAGATGTTTTCCGGAAAATGGGTTATATTCCAAGGCCTTCTGGCCCTCGTAGATTTCTTACAAATTTGTTTCTGTCAACTCTATTACGACTCGTTACAGCCAATCGTTATGTGCGACGATAGCGTACTTGAAAAATGCGGAGGCCTTATCAGTATTTTAACAATGCACAGCAATCAAAGCGTATATCACTAGTTCTTGGGCAAACACGCCAGACATTTTCTTTGTGATATATTCGTCGTATGTTTTATGTCAGTTTATGACCCCACCCGCTTCTACCAATTATATCAAATTTTTAGAAGGGAGATGAGAGTTATTTGAGAGGTACACGCCTTATCCTTTACTATGATGACTCTATTTGGAGTAGTTCTACCATACAAAAGATTTCATCAGGTAGCCGTTTTGTTATATGCACTTCTGACCTTCTTTTGGTTAATGGACGATCTCTGCTACTAAGCAGTTGTGTAAGGTTTCCACTCCCTGCCTTCTAAAGAAGTGTTTTTCATTTTCTTTAACAGATGGGAAGACAAGCCCACCAAAGTTAGAAGAACAAGGAGATAATTTGATTATTAATCTCCCGCTTAAGTCTCAGAGTAATTCCACAACTTATATTCCTTATATGGGCTATGTGTTCATTAAAATCCAAAGGATTCAAGTGAAAATTAGTTTCATTAAATACGTATCTAAAACGTTTTAAAAGAGACAAAAATAGAACTGAAGTGAACAATTGTTTCTGTTAATTTCATCCTTTTTTTGTTTTGTTGTTGTTGTTTTTTTTTTTGGAATAGTTTATTTATTCTATTAACTTCATTTTATACCCTTTCATAACTTGAAATAAACTATTCTCGAACTTTTGCATTCAGCTTTATCTCTTGTGCTCTTTTACAAAGGATTGTTTTGCCTTATTGTGCTATAGTAGGTCTATATTTTTCGATGTTTTATGTATAGGACGCGATAGCAGGGCGCCTAAAGAATTCTGGAATTATAACTTTTTCTTTATTATTTTGAATCAGAAAAAGAAACTCCCATTTCCTTGATAAACACGACTTTTTTCTCATTTCGGTTTTTCTTTAAGTTTTTTTTTCTAACAAAGCGACGTGAGTGGTAGCAGCGCCGGACTGCTTTTTCTGGAACCGCTCACGTCAGCTAGTACTATGGTTTTCTTCGGGATTGCGCTAGCGGGGTCGGACGGGTCCTACGTTTTTGCGCGAAAGCTCACCTGGCGGCAATTTATTGTTGTTTATATAATGAATAGAGGATATTACATGGCCGCTTGGGGATACGAATTTTAACTTCGAGTGCTGTAAGTATCTCATTCGTTCGCTTCGCTCACTCGCGAGAGATACTTTCAGCACGAGAAGATAAAATTCGTGTCCCCCAAGCGACCATGTAATTCTGTTTATTTTGTAGATACTGATGAAACTTCCACCTAAAACACAACTTTTTTTATTCATTTTCGAAACAACAAAGTAGTGCAATTAAAGTCGTCACCTATCGCAAAATGCCTGTCACAAAAATGTTGTGAAACTCGGATATAAAGTTATAAAGGAGAAATAAAGACGATAATAGTTATATTTTCCGTTCCAAAAAGAAATTTCAAGAGAACCGACCGCACGCCTGAGCGGGAAGTTCTCTTGCAATTGGCTTATCATGTTAGTAACCATGGCGACACCAATATCCTCACACGTGAAAGATAATCAAAGGCTCTCTGAGCCAACTCATGAATTGGATAAGCCAATGTAATTTGTGTCGTCAATAGAAAGGGGTGTTTGATTTCCATACGAAAAGTTTGATTCCGTACGAATCGTTAGACTGGTAAATGTCCATTATGAGGAATATGATGTGAAACTAAATTAGGCCTCAAAGACAGAAAATATGGCCTGATTAGGATTTGGTGCAAGAAAGTCACTGTTCCAGATTTTACCGTAAAGGTTTGTGAAAAGAAAGTTCAAAAGGGTGCTGTTTTGTTTACCATATAACTATTGTTCCAATTGAGCTCTGTATTTACTTGCGATGCAAGCATAGGGATAGGCATGTAAAAGCTTATAGGGACTTTAAGCAAACCACGACGGCTACGGCAACGAGAACGTAGAACAACAATAAATCTAATTGGCAGAACAATAGCTCAGCACGTGCGTTTTAAAACTTTGTACATTTCTTAGCCGTCCTTTGCAAAACAA